CTAGTCTTAGTGTAACACTTTGAATTTCCTAAAGCTTTCAATATAATTAACCACCAGCTTCTCATGCAAAAACTCATCTAAGGGGATCAAGAGCTTTCTGCTCTCTTGGTTTAATCCCTTCCCCAGTAACTGATACCAGATAGTCAAAGTAATCTCCTCTTTAATAGATGCTGTCCCGATCAAAGTGGAATAGTCAGTCAATCAGTTACAACGTTGAACTTTGTACGTACGTACATAGGTTCAGGTTGCCATACCACATTATTACAGAGATGCAACTGTCAGTTCAAATCCTAAAATGGTAGAGACAGTAGAAGTAATAGTGGTAATAAAGAAGATTAGGTTTCCAAGATATTATTCAAGAAGTATAATTCGGTGAGATAAGTTTAGAAAGAGAAAGACAGAGGTGATGAGGAATTCTGAAGATTACAGTTTTAATGAAAACAAAGAGTAAATAAACTCAAGTACTCCTATAATTTGTTATTCTCCGGACATGTATCTAAATTGATCTCCAAGTCTCAACATCATCTCAGTTACCTAATTTGTGAGCTCAATAACAATGAAACACGTATTTCGATTCACAAACTATGTATTAGACGATTCCTAAAATACTACGCGTTTATTCTTAGTAGTGTTCGTATATAAGGTAAATTAATGCTGGAAACTGTTCAGCGACGATTTACACTATGCATTCTTGGAACGTATTGTACATTAAATTATCAACTAAAAATGTAATAAATTTGAACTCGAACCTTTATGGAAGAGATATTTTTCTTTAAAATACTTAAAAAACTGTGTTTTACATCCGATGCAGCTATTCGATACAAAGAAACTCCTAGTTATAGCCTTCGTAACTTTTTTTCATTGGTGATACATTCTGATTGTAAAACCTTTGTTTATATAAATTATTTTTTTAGTAATTGTCCGAGACTGTGAAATACTTTACCCCAATCTATCCCTGAAATAACATCCTTTATTTGTTACATCAGTGCCTACTAATCCTCAGAAAATGCCTTGAATGTGCTTACAGGTTAAGTATATCCCATTCCACATGTGAGATTACAAGAATCTTAATTGTTTAGCCTTTCGATTACTGAGCCGTTTAGCCAAACCTCCTTACTTGCAGATACTTTACACTAACGCCATCCATTGTAAGTTTAACCATTTTGAATAATATCTAGCCCGAACAATGGACCATAAAGTAATCTTGAACTTGAATCGTGGTAGACCTGACAGACCTATCTTACTAATTAATACTTTTGTTATTTCGTACTCCCTGTTTCCATTTTATTTTCTATCGTTGTAGATGATTATAACCATTAAATTATGAAACTGGAAACGACAATAAATACACCGGTAAAACAGCGACGTGATCTCCAGTTAAAACGAAATAATAGTTCCCGACTGACACCTTGTATTACTGTTAAATATGTGAAAAATTCACTACAACACTTCAAATAAATTCAGATGATTTATCCATCCCTTACATTAAACATTTATTTCTATAAGAAGCCAACTATGTCTGTAAACCGACGTGAATTCTGTAATTATTATTTTCAGAATTTATTATTATTATTATTATTATTATTATTATTATTATTATTATTATTGAAAGTATTAACCTGATAACATCAGTCGTAAAAAGGACTGCTAAATCATAGTCTCAATTAGTACTCAGAAGATATACAGTAAAGCAATATTAACAACATTAAAAGAAATTTAGAATAATAACATACTCCTTATCTTGTATTCTAATGTTATGCTCCGTAATTTATGAGTAATTCTAATATACTCACGAATAAAACTTCCATCATTATATGCGTAGAACCCTTATTCACCTTTCGATATGGGGTTACAGAGGTTGTTGAGTTTCATTGAAGTCATGAATCGATCAATGTTAGATCACCATTAAGAACCTGGGAGTACTGGACGGCCGTCTCGTCTCAGTATGGGGCTTATCAGCAGTGCGCATCACCCGACCCCCGCTTGCAGGAATCGAACCCAGGACATTCGACCTTGTGCACGAATGCTGATTAGTCCTATTTCAGGACGAAACGCCCGTCCAGTGCTTCCAGGTTTCTAACAGTGGTCTAATAATGATTGATTCACGACATTAATGTAAACCTCAACAATCTCCAGGATCCTATGGTGAAAATTATCATGTTCTCACTAATGACTAGCTTCGTGAAGTAATTTCTTCCAGTTCTAGTGAGAAGTTGTGACTAGCAGAGTTCAACCCTGTCGGTTGTGAAGCAGTGACCACCGAAGACAACGGATGAAGTCGCACAATATCGTGGATTGAGTGAAGTAAGATATTAACACCTCTGAATGCCGGCTTTGTGTTATAGGGGGTTTCTTTCGTTCTCGCGCGAGACCGAAGGGCCAGGATTCTTGTTTAATTCAAAATTAATTCGCAGCTCTGAAACAGAACAGATGTTATTTCGAAAAAACTAATGCTGGTCACTGAAAATAACTAGACATCAAGTGACTTTTTAAAAAAATGAAAGATTTAAAGTTTCAAGTACTAAAGTAAACTGCATTCAGTGAATTTTTTCTCATCTATCAATCACCTCGAATGAAATATAAAATATTGTTGATCGACGAACAGTAATTTTCTCCACATTCACAAAGTTTAATTCAAAATCTGAGGAAAATGTAATAATTTTGCTATAGCTTATTGGAGCAAACTTTTAGGCATGGTAAAGCGCTGAATTGAATAACATTATAGCTATAATTATATGGTCCATTATGTATATAAGACAATATAACTAGTTATGTCGGTGTAATTTTACCTACAAAGAATTCCCAACTAGGAAATTACATTTCTTCTAAGAAGATCCAATCAAAAAACTGATATTCATCAGATATTCGCTCTATCATCCCATGTCTCTGTGTAACTCTCACTTCCGATTGGTTAACTTTCTAACATTCATGTAGGTGTGGATTTCCATTTACTTAGGTTACTCTAATTTCACTTTCTTTTTGAAAAAAAAGAGAAAAAAACAATAACAATTTTTCTTATAATTTCTTCCGTGTTCTGTCTACTTTTTCTGTTTAGCATATATGTGAATACAATAAATACTTTGTGTTTGACTGACTTGTGATTGGTTGTAATAAAAGCTAAATAAATAGTGACAAAATTTTCAATCAAAAATAAAATTCACTCCTTTTCACATGAATCGAAAAAATGGGGATTGAAAGAAACAAACACATATGACAAATGATAATTTATTTTATTAAGCGGAATAAATTTTTAAGAAATTACTGTATCATATACACATGTTAGTAAGTCAATACAATAATTACAAATATTTTTTTTATCTATCAATGATTTAAGATCATATTTTCAGCTCATTAAGTATATATATCCATCAAATCCCAAAAAGTGTAGGTATAATGCTTTATTTAAACATTCTATGGAGTTTGATTTAATTTATGGTGTGAGTAGCATCTACAATCAATCAGAGTACAATTGAGAAAGATTGTCGAAAATTATAATCTACTTCCATAGTCAATATGCCTCGCTTAACAGTTTATTTTATTTATCACTGGTACAAAATTTCCTTACGCAAGTTGATCATTGAGGAATTGATATCGAAGTAAAATACTCCATTAAATGTTTAGAGTAAAAATGAATATGTATTGCTCTGGACATTTCAAAATGTCAATCAAATTACATAAGTATTGTTTAAGTAAAGTCAAGTTCAGATTTACCAACTTCTTAATATAGATTAGTACGATTGTAATGATTAAACTCAATGAGAAATGAAACTGAACACTGTTATCAATTGAATGATATGAAGAATCAGTGAAACTGATTAGAATTGTTATCTAACCATTTAACAATTATTTAAATTCTCTGTAGATAGGACGCTCGGTTGAGGTTATCTGTAACAATTTGAATGTTCAATAGGAGCGTGTTGTTTCCAAGACATTCAACCATTTTTCCGTTCATGTAATGAGTGAGTATACACATCGGAGTATTCAGAGTTATATGTAATTGTCTACTATGAAAATGTCAGTGTAGCCCAACCCCAAAAGGCGTATGAAAACACATCGATTATTTAAGTTAATTTTTGAAATAAAACGCTTTTGAAAATTACACTCTAATTAGAATAACAGAAAAATGACAGACAGTACTGGATACAACAAACTTATTGAATACTGAGAATATAGTAGACAACCTCATTATCGGTAGCTTAATGATTGAAAGATTCTGTTTTCAACCGTTGGGTTTTAGGTATTAAATTTGCTTCAACTAGTTTGGTTTAAACAGTCAGATATTACCAGTATGGTTAAATGAATTACATTTTAATTCTCAATTAACCAAATTTTTTTGCAATTCAGTATGTTGTAATAAATGTACTTTCCACGTGGCTTGAATAATTTTAATAAGTTAGTCAAATTTTTTCATACAAAATGATTGAAATGAGTGGCCTTGATCAATCTCTAACTGGGAAAAACGCATACCCAGTTATGATACTTCAAAGCTTAAAAGAAAATTTAATGAGTATTGTTCACAACCAGAAGAATAAATACTAATTTTGTAAGGCAGTATTATTGGAGCCAATCGACTAGGTCAAATATTTGAAAAATCCTCCATCATTTAATTAAAACAAACTATAAACAGAAAGCAAATGTTCTCATTTTGTACATCAATTGATTCGAATGTTTTTGATAATATTCAGAAAAATTCGAGTTATCCAAAATAGAGAATAATCGGAAATATTATTATTAAATTCAGCCTTAAAATTAACTTAAAAAGTTAGTTTTACAGAAATAAGTATATTCGAATGTTTCAGTTTCTAAAATAAATCTGTGAATGAGCTTAATTTTTTAGAAATAAATATTTGCGAAACATATTATAACATGACTAATATTGTACTGTACTTTTTAATAAAATCTGCATTAGAAAGTGTAAGGAAATGAACTTTCTAATGGTTTGATGAATTTGTTGCGTTTTCATTTCATTTTATCTAGTAAACAAATAAAACACAATTAGAATGTCAACAGAATATACAATTTTAGACTCCTCGACTTCTTCACAATCTTATTCATCTAATAAACAATTTTTTAATGATAATCAAAACGGTTTAATGAATAATTTCATATCGAATGTATATTCAGCTTCATTATTTGAACAATTACCATTTTCTGTGAAAAATTTCCCAACAACAGCACCTCCTTTATTCACATCATCATCATCCTACTCCTCCTCGTCCGCCGCCGCCGCCGCCAATACTCCATCATCATTCCCATTATCGTCTATAACTGAGAGAAAATTAACCAATTTGGAAATTAGTCAAGAAAAAGATATTCAAAGTGTTAACAATGTTCAATTGTATCCTAATAAATATAAATTATCTTTATTATCCACTCATCAATTATCAAATAATCACATACAGTTAGCATCAACAACAGAGACAAATATCCCATCAACTCCTATTACACAATCAAATGAGTCTAATAAATCAATAATAAAAAAAGAGAAAACTTATCAAAATATACAACAGAAATACATTAAAGATTGTACTGGATGTAATCAACCAATTTTAGAGAAAATTTATCTTGGATTATCTGATGGACAATCATGGCATATGAACTGTTTAAATTGTAATACATGTGGAAAGTGTTTAGATAAAGAGATTAGTTGTTTCAATAGATATGGACAAATTTATTGTCGAAAAGATTATGAACAGTAAGTTAGTTAGTTAGTTAGTTATGTTTTAATTTTAGTTATTTTGTAATATAATTAAATAGTTTAAATGATTATCTGACAACCATTTTATTGTAGGGTAACAAAAGGACTCTGATATGTAAATAATTGAGCACGGGTTAACCGAGACTTCTATACTATAGGCAAACTTCAAAAGTTATATGATTCAGATTTTTCGTTTAGTATGCATTTATGTATCTTCTCTGTCGACATATTTTCTTCCCAAACAATGTTTAGAGCAAGAGTGGCTAATTAATTTAACTAAATAATCTCCGAAACTCAACCTGGAGCCCTTCTAGTGTTGCTGCTGTTCTCAAGCCCAGATAGAGTAGGATGGTTGGGAAAGGGGTTGGCAACCCCATTCCGTAGAAACACAAACTTACCAATAGAAAGCTAACCAGAAAATATAATTAAGACATTTGAATATCTAACCAACACCGAATTCAGAATTATTAATACAAACACCAAAACAGTTTTATTGTATGGAGCTGATTCTTAGAGAACTACGACAACCATCATCCACAAGATACAGGTATTTATTAATAGTTGTATACACAAGAAACTAAAGATCCATTGGCCAGATACCATCATAAACAACCTACTGTGTCAGAGAACAAGCCAGATCCCAGCTGAGGAGGAAATTAGGAAAAAGCGCTGATAGTGGATAGGATATATATATTGCAGAAATCACCCAACTGCACTACGAGGGAAGCCCTAAATTGGAGTTTTCAAGGAGACATGAAAAGAATGAATAGCAATCGGGAACAACTGAAAGGACGAGCCTAGCACTGAGTTGGTTGGAGAATCCTGGAAGGCGGCCAATGCTCTATTAAGAGTAACAGGCATAAGTATGTAAATTTGTAGTTCAGGTGGATGATTGTGGTACATAACTATGATCTTCAGCATATTATCTTCTAATTTAAATCCGTGATCATTATTCAACACAGGAAAATATTTTTTAATGCGGTTTCATTTCAACCGGATAAACATAAAGAAATTGGATAATGTAATTTAAATATTGTCACAAGCAGAATCATCAGCTCATTTTATAATTTGATATTAACATTACATATTCTAGATAATACTGAATTTGTAAAAGCTTTAGCTGATCTAAGTAACTAAATTATTTTCAGTTTTAATCCATTAATCTTCGACTGATGACTTCATTTTTGTTTTCAATGAATCTTGTATGTTTCTGATTTTTTGAACATTGGTTCAGAGAGTTTATCGGAACATTCAACAAAAAAAATGAAATCTATTGTGTTGAAGGTTAAACTTGTCTGAATCTCATCGTTGTTTGAAATTTTATGAATCAGTCATTAAAATATATGAAATCATACTAATATACATGGAATAGAACTTTTTGATACCTATTTCCTATTCTGAAAAACAGAGAAGAAATTAGATAATAATTTTTCCACTTCCTTTTTCATTGATACTAATAATTCAATGCAGTTTTCAAAAATATTTACGATCTCAGTGTTAGCTATTGTGAGAAATAATTGATGAGTAAATCATTTGTGTAATCAAATTATATATATATGGACGCGAAACGTGGCCGGTAAGAGTAGAGGACATTCGTAGGTTATTAATATTCGATCACAGATGTCTCCAAAGCATTGCTCGTATATCCTGGGACAACCGAGTAGGCAATGCTGCCACCATGAAACGAGTACTAGGTAAGGATGGCAGATCAATAGATGAAGTAGTGAAATTTCATCAGTCGAGGTGGTTGGGATATGTGTTACGTATGCCTAACCACCTACTGCCCTGACGAGTTATGTTTTGTGGTGTAGGATTAGGTTGGAAGAAAGCTAGGGGTGGCCAAACCAAAACATGACACAAATCCATGAAGTCACTGACAAGGGGACTGAGTAATGTTGGTGTATGTAGGCTACGTGTTTGGGATCGGCAAGACGAAATTCACGGATGATTAGAGATCTTGGACGACAGGGCTCAAATCGTTTGCAATTGCTCAGGTGCATCCACTCTTTGTGTTCTCTCTAATTCTAACCTTTTGAATTCCTCATCAACCCTATCCTTCTCTTTTTAAAGTTGTCTCACTGAATTCAACTTGAATCATATCTTCTAGTATTGCTACCACTATGAGATTTGAATTGACAGTGGCGTCTCTGTGCTGAGTGGTATGGCAACCTGAACTTATGTACTCATATACGAAGTTCCACGTTGTAACTGACTAACTGACTGATATATATATATATATATATATATATATATATATATATATATATATATATAATCACAAAATCTAGTGTTTTAAAGATAACCATTTATTAATTTATACAAATTGAATGAAATTTTAATATATAGTAACTGGAAATCAATGAACAGATATTCGAAATAGTGATTTTATAATTATTGGTAGCTAGTAACGTCAAACTATTTTGTAGCAGAAATTAAACTCCCAACGGATATGCTTGAAACAGATGAAATAAATTTCCACAATAAAAATGATCGAGTTTCGATATCAAACTTGTCAGATTTACTGCCACTGATATAACTCATAGCTTTAATTTCATGTATAGCTAGTGTACTAAGCGAAGATATATCATGAGTGTATGAAATAACTGTACAAAATATACTTATAAGTAGTATAATACTTGTATGTATTTACTTTTATAGGCAATAGCGTTTAAATAATTTCAAGTAACTTGGTTTTTGTCATATTCCTTGGTATTACTATTGCTGTTCTCATCAGTGTGTGATTTTCTTTACTCTTCCAATCTTTTGCAAATTCTTCTCTAATTCATACTGGAAATATACTATACTACTCAAAAGGATGATAGCATATCTACAAATTGACTAGCTGTTTCCATTTTTTGACAAACATAATATACGTGTAGTTATCGGTACTTGTTGTGTTCATGTTTTTCTAACAATATTCATCATTCTATCAGGTAACAGATGAGAGTTAGATCACTCAGTCCGTTCTGTAATTGACTAAACTATTACTTTTCTACTGAATAAAATAAGCCATTATTATCAATGAATAAACCGGCATTCACTAACAAATATAATTATTATGATTATATTTCTTGATTTTGTTAATTGAGGCATAAATTTTATTTGAAAACGAGTTACCTTCTCACATAACACTAGTGAAAACATGCTTTTTGTTACTAACCTATCTATATCTTAATAGAAAAGAAGAAATACTTGAGAGCCTCTAGGTATTAAACTATGAAATTGACTTAAAACACATAAATAGTTCAGAAAATAGTTTTTCTTTATATTAATGGCTTGAGTTAACTGATACTGAATACGGCTACTAACTTAGAATGTTCCAACTGGCCACGTGTAAACTGAAATCCAACTACAGTACTGATGACCTTTGGTGTAAATGATTAAATGTTTCGGTGTACAGTTCAGTTGACATTCATTTAAAATGTACCACATTATTTTAAATGTTTAATTTGAAGTTATAGGTATACAGCAGTGATACACGTAAGATATTTTACAAATTCCTCCATTTCACTTATTCACTTCATTTATATGTTCAAAATATCCGATCATTAGAAAATATGCCCAATGGCTAAATTTAATCCATGATAAGTAAACTGATTATATACATGTAGCCACTAAGGAAATCAAACTTCATGCATGTTAACAATACTATGATGACTAAGTGACTACTAAAGTTAACATCACCAAACACTTTGCTAGTGACTGTTTACATTAGTAAAAACAATCTAAAACACCAGGACCAAAAAGCCTTTAAATCAGGGGAACAGTAAATAAAAATCTGTTAGTAATACTAAGAATTATTACACAAACTTCTTACCTCTTTCTTTCATTCTCTCAGTGTATGTGTACGTTTGTACTGGTATATGCTCACAAAGTAGCCCCAGGTAACAGGAACTTGTATGTATATCAGTGTGAAAAAATAACACAATATTAAAGCAGAACATGTACAGTTATATAATAAATAAAGCTGGAAAAGAAATAGCGAGACTAGATACTACTTAAACGCTTCGTATTATCAGTTATATTTCATTATGAAAATTCATTAATTTATTGCTTCATTTACAACTGATTTTTAGCCAAGTGAGGAAAGAAAACAGAGTTCCCCTCCACCTCATTACAAACATCGTATACTGTTGTTTATACTTTTCAAAATAGGATTATTCTCAAGCCCTTAATTATATATCTCGAAACATGAGCATCACACAGAAAAAATGCAAAAAAATAAGGAATCAATAAGGGTAAATAATCAAATAATAATAAGAATAAACGGATTACATCGATAGAGTTTACACACAAAACACCGAAACTATCAATGAAGTAAACGTATCTTCACTTAAGAGCCTAGAAATTACCTAAGACACTGGGAGTAGTTGATTTCGGGATAAAATTAGTAGGTCAAGTTTTAACAGAAGAATATAATGAGTAAATTATAGCGAATAATCAATTTAATATAACCAATCATAATACTTCAATTCATGGATTAATTTATCAACTGATCACCAAATAGTAACTTGTAATGTATTGAGTAAAATATTATCAGCTGAAGAACATAAGCTTCCAGTTAACTTAATGTTAACTTAGTACTTGATTGTATGCTTGAGCATAATCAAGAGACTTTGAAACAAATTTGTTCATTATTTCAATGAATGAGATGATCAAGCTAACAACATTTGAATTTCTATTGACTAATTCTGCACATAGAAACGATAACGATGGTATTTTTGTACGAACGAACTACGTGTATGTAGTATTACTAGTAAAAGTGGATAGTGGAATCCAAAACGTACATTTTTCCGTATTTCTGACTTGTTAGCTAGACGTACCTGAGTCTCGGAATTAATGTTTACTCCTGAAGTCGAACCTAGTAACGCTTGTTGTCTACTTAGCATATGACAATTATCAGAAGTACAGCTGAAAAGAATAGATAAACATTTTTTAATTACTAATTGTTGGTATTCCTTTAGAAACATGACAGAAAGACTGAAAAGCTATTTCAT